GATGTAAGAAGCAGGTGGAGGCTGCTGATCGGTTTCATGGATCTATAATGGAATTTTTAATTGAGTGCTGAGAAAACAGATAACTGAAGGAGTTGTGCTTGCCTGGTATTCATAACCGTCAATTGGAGCTACGCTTTCATCACAATTCGGTTTGGTCCAGACAAATCGTAGAACAGTCGCTTCAGCTGAATCGAGAGCGACCTAGAACAATTTTTTTTGAAATGTGAGTCTTGAACTGACAAAATCAATGTCAAAGGTACGAAACTTTCGGAGATACTGACTCCGAAAATAACTTCTGTAAACTTAGAAATTGTATGACTGAACCACAGAGTAAACACAGGGAAGATTTTAAACGTTCTACTTCCCAATTTTCCCTGTTCTTGTGCACTTTTCTTCTCTACTCTTCTCTACCTCAATCCATCATCTTCAATCTTAAAAAAACTACCTTGGAATACGCTCATTTGCTCTCCCTTTCACTAATGTCGCCCAAACGAGGGAAAGGACAGATTATGTTGAGGTGCGCCAAATCTTAGAATGGCACATTCAAAATGCTTACTGACGAGATAGATATGAGCCAAAATGAGCATTGATGAAATGTTTCCTTTTTCATCATCTATGAAAATCTTTGCATAAAAATTACGAACATTTTTCTTTTGCTAAAAATGGCATCAGGCCTGTAAAAGCTGTTCGAAAGTTCAACTTTAAGCTAAAACGCAATGTAACTGATGAGAATTTCGAATCGCTCTGATTCTATGTTAGAAGTCATCCACCTTCTTTCTATGGTGGAGCTTACAATTGTTCTTCTTCATTAGTCCTTTAAAAAAGTTGTGGCTACAAATTGCCTAATAAAGTTCGACGAGAGTGACGGAGACAACAAGTATGACGAGGATAATGAACATGGGTTCATTTTTCATTCATAGGAAAATTCTGAAGTCCAATTTCCAATTGTATTTAGTGTTTTTTTTTCTTTTGGAAGTCTCTGATGGTAATGGGTAACAATCGGTTACTGAACGTTAAGCTAAAATTACCTTCTCAAACAGCTGCTTTAATAGATAGGGTCATACTTTGATAATTTTTTGTGAGCTCAAACCAAATTGAGTAAAGCCAAAAAAATAGTCGAGGGTATTGAGTAAACATACATCATCAGGGATACCAGCTGGGCCGAAGCAGGCATTCGCTGCCGCCGCACCGACCGTCACCTCATCGGTACGGGTAATCATCTGTAGTAATCATATGTTCATGCGTTAAAAGAATAGCTTCTTAAAGATTT